TTGTCATAGTTTATATCCAGCAGTGGTTTCTTTTGCTGCTGTGTACTGGACAGTTTCTTACCTGGAGAAACGTAATCTTTGAATGTCGCATTTGTGAGAGGGAAATGAACTACTATAGGAACTTTGGGATTGTTTTCATCCATGAAGACGTAGCATTCTTGTAGGCTGTTCTCAAGGATGTCTGCCACATCAATCTTTGGGAAAGGGATATTATGGTCTCTACAAAATTCTTCAGTCTTCTTCAGAACCTGGTTAGATATGGGAAAGATTGAAAGGTGAACATAAATTAATTACATGGTAACATCTGTGAACAGTCAAGTTTGGGATAACTGAAACTTGTATAGCTTTCTACATGTGCTTCTCTGTAAACTTAATTTATCAGTTACTTTGCAGCAAATATCAGTAATATTAGTGTTTCTAACCTATTGGACAGCATAGAGGAATTTTCTGGCTTCCCTATGCAATCCAATGAGGTTTATAGCTGATTGTTATTCGTACTGGGGAGAGGGAAATCAAAGCCACCGAACCATGAAAATGATTTGTTCCATTTTTTGATTGTATATAGGGCGCCAAAAAATTCATTCTAAACCCTGTTGATCTGTGATTTACTAATTTTCTTGCATCTTTCCATGTATTAATAGACAATAGATGAAAAGCTTAAATTTCTAGTCAACATTTGATATGTTCTCAACAAGGACAAGAATATAAGAGAATAATCTCCAAACCTTGCCTTTCCAAGGGTTTGACTTAACTGGAACTGATTATGCAGCACTGCATCTGCCTTGGTTGTATCTTAGTAGAAAATGAGGGCCATCTTAAATCATAACACTTTTAGCGAATTTCATAGAATTTGGTCTGCTTCCAGAAACGGGCCACACAAAACGTGTTTCAAAAGTAGGAATGGTTGAAACATTAGATAATGAAGTGATGCCTTGGCTAGGAAAGTGGTTATTACAGCAATCCTTAAGACTATAACAAACATCACTTGTTGAGTCTTGGATAAAGAACATTTGTTTTAGGAGTGTTTCTGGGAATCCATACTTAAGGTATAAAAGAGCAAAATAAATAAAGAACTATGTTAGGGATGTATGATTTTGATAAATATCCCCCTCTCTCTCTGACTGTGTCTTTTTCTGGATGTAGGTGACCCCAACACTTGAGTAATTATTGCTTACATCTTCTTGTCCCAATGGTATAGTGAATTGACCAATCAGTGCAGGTTGACATAAGATCATAAACAGGAGTTGGAGTAAGCAATTTAGCCCGTCAAGCTTACTCTGCTATACGATCATTACTGATCACATCTCAACCTCAACACCACCCTCTTTCAACTTATTACTAATTACTATCCACCTCCTCAAATTTACTAAATGTGCTAGCATAAACCCTGTGTTGGTGTCGTGAATTCCACAGATTCATGATCCTTTGAGGGAAGTAATTTCTCGTGTCTATTTTAACTCTGCTATCCCTTATTCTAAAACTGTGACCTCTCATTCCAGATTTCCTCACATGAGGAAACATCCTCTTGACATCTACTTTGTCAATTCCCTTTGGTATCTTATACACCCCAATTAGATCTCCAGAGTATAGGCCTAAACTGCTCAATCTCTCTTCACAAGACAAATCCCTCATCTCTGGAATCAATCTGTTGAACCTTTTCTGACTCCTGACTCCAATACTGAACTAAACCAGTTTGTCCTAATGTATACATACATTATAAAAGCCACAACAGATGCTATTGACCTCTTCTGACCTCTGCCTCCAATGCAACAACATCCTTTAAGTAAGGGGACCAAAACTGTACACAAATGTTTGTGGTTTGAAGAAGCATGGGTAGCAACCTCCCTTAGCTCAAATAGTAATAGGCTACCAGATGAGCTTTTGTGACAACCTGGCAACTTTACTGATCATTTTATGGTACCAGCCAGAGTCATGATTTAACTCGGCTAGCACTGCATACATGGTACAATATAGAACAAGATTTATGGTGCAGTGATGGTGCCTCATTGGGCCTGAAGGTCTGGGATCTGGTCTTACATCGGATGTGATAGCCACACATTTAATGGACAATGGCCAAATAAGTTGATTCAAAAATATGGTATAACATGTAAATAAGACATCTGTCATACATCAAACTGAAATCCTCTTTGTATCTAGAATCTACATTAATGACCCAAGTTAATATTATGAGCACCATGTACATTCTGATGTCTGGGTAGAAATTCAGTTTGCAGGGCACAATCTACAGAGAGGTCACATAACTATGTTGTCACGGAACTTTGTACACATGCATCTCCTCACCTTGAATGGCGATCCTTGACTGAAACTAAAAGACAGGATGACATTGATATGTCTCTGTGACCGTAGGGCAAGGGGAAATGCCGAATTAATTGAGAATCCAGCATCAACCAAGTACAACTGATTTGTCATTGGCGTCAGATTGTTTGGAGAGGAGTCCAGGTGTTGAACTGAAAGATTTGTTAAAAATGGCATAAATTAAAACAGCAGGCAACAGAGAACCAAAATGTTTCCTTCAATCATGAAAGAAATGTCAACATGTCAAAACAACTAGCAGTAGAAGCTATGTAAAAGCAAAATACTGTGGAGGCTGGAAATCTGAAGTAAACACAAAATTCTGGAGAAGTGCAGCAGGCTCTGGTAGCATCTGTGGAGACAGAATAGAGTTAATGTTTCTATGACTGTTCTTCAGATGAAAAGGTGTCATACCAGAGTCAAAATGCTAGGTGTTTCATATCCAAAAGGCTACTTTTATAACTATACAACTGAGAGATGAACAAGTTTTATACAGATCCGTCATCATATCTCAACTTGAATAGAGAGATGGGTAGAATGGTCTCTATTTCTTGTGGTTTAGAGAATAATAGATGATCTCACTGAAATGGATAATATATTTTAGGTAGCCTTTGAAGGATCATATGTTACTCTGGCTGAAAGGTCTAGACTACCACTCAGATGAAGGGTCAACGTGAGGAAAATTTCTTCACTTGGTGGGTTGTGAATCTTTGTTGTCTCTACCCTAGAGGTCTGTTATAGATTCAAGATTTAGACAGTTAAAATTTTGGACAGCAAGGAAATCAAAAAATATGGGAGAGGGCAGGAAGTTGGAGGTCACGTAGAAGATCACTCATGATCTTAAATCAAAGGAAACAAAGCAGGAAGCTATTTGCCAGTTAGTTCAACATGTGTCATTTGGAAAATCCATTATTAAAGAGGTTATAGCAGGACATTTAAAAAAACATCATACAGTTAGACAGAATCAATATAATTTTGTGTAAAGGAATTCTCTTTTTTGAGTTATTTGAGATGTAACAAGTAGGGTGTGCATAAAGTTGAGCCTGCAGATGTAATGTATTTGAATTTCCAAAAGGTATGTGCAGGAGTGGCCCATGAAATGTTATTGCACAAGTGTTCATTGTGTTAGGAATGACATAGATACCAGATTAGCTAATTAAATAAAAAACAAATGGATCATTTTCAGGTAGGCAAACTGTAACTAGTGAAGTGTCTCAGGAATCAATGCTGGGGCTATTTACAATCTACATAAATGGCTTGGAAAGAGGCATCAACTGTATTAAAGCCACATTTGCTGATCATTCAAAGAGAGTAAAGCAGGTTGTGAGGAGGATACAAACAGTCTACAACGGAATGGATAGATTAAATGAATAGCCAAAAACAAAATGACAGATGCAGTATGAAGTAGGAAAATGTGAGACTGTCCACTTTGGCAAGAAGAATGGATAAGTGGAATATTATTTAGATGGAGAGAGACCACAGTAAGGCAGTTGCAGCAAATATTTAGAACGGAAAATGGAATGTTGGCCGTTATTGTAAAGAGGATTATGTACAAGTAGGAAAGTGCTGCAAGAGCCATACAGGGCATTGGTGAGACCGCACCTGGAGACTTTACAGTTTAGTCTCTTTAAGAAGGGATATATTTGAATTGGAAGCAACTCAAGAGGACATTCACAATGGGAATGAAGGGCTTTGTCTGGTGAGGAAAGATTAGAGTCTAGAAGAATGAGAGAATGATATCTTTATGGGTCAGACTAAAACCAGTTTTTAGTGCATGGAAAATCAATACCAAACTAAACCAGTGTGTCCTAGTGTATACCTACATATAAAAGCCACAACAGGTACTATTGCACTCCAACCTCCAAAATGAACATGTCGAACAATGTTCAAAATTTTACACAACTTACGTACATCCTCTGTTTTCCACTAATTACAAATCTAACACAATCGCTGGTTTCCTATTCCCAAGAGGATACCTCATTTTTTAATCTAAAATTTCAAAGCTTAGGGAAGGACTTTGACTCATTTTGATCTAAGACTGACAAAACATTTTCTTTAACAAAGAGAAATTTTATTCTAGTCTTCCAATTGACTTTTCCCCCTTTATTTCTGACTTTGACCTGGATCTGAACTGATTTCAGGCATAATTTATGTTGGAGTAACTATTGGTACTCTCCTCATATTCCAACTATCCAGTTCATCAGGCTAATTTGACTGATGCGAACTCGACTCTTTTTTTATGAACATCTAAAGTAAAACATGATCTCCAGATACAAACTTAACCTTTCAACTACCCAACCATCTTAAATAGAACCACGTTGTGTTCCCCTTTAATGCAAGGGGATTTGAGTACAGGAGAAAATAAGTTTTGTTTCAGTTCTGTAGAACACTGGTGAGATTGCATCTGGAGTATTGTGCTCAGTTCTGGTCCTCTTGCCTACAGAAGATGTATTTGCCATCCAGGGCATGTGGCAGAGGTTCACTAGACTGATTCCTGGGAATAGTGGCACTATTCCATTAGGGCAGATTGAGGAGGCTGGTCCTGTATTCTCTGGAGTTTAGATGATTGAGGTAATATCATATAAACTTATAAAACCCTTGATGTAGAACATTGTGGACAGGATGTTTCTTCTGGCTGTGAGGTTTAGAACCAGAGGACACAGTTTCAGAATAAAAGGCAAACATTTAGAATTCAGATTATGAGGAACATCTTCACTCAGAGGGGACAAATTTTTGGAATGCTATACTCCAGAAGACTGCGACAGCTCAGGCTTTAACTAAGTTCAAGACAGAAATTGATAGTTTTCTAGTAACTAATGACATTAAGAGATCTGGGGAGTGCACAGGACTATGGCATTGAAGTAGATGATTAAGCCTGATCTAGAACAGTGGAGGAGGCCTGAATGGCCTACTCCTGGCTCCTATGTTCTTAACTGTAGGTACATGAGGGAACAGTTCAAAAGTAGTAAGAGCAAAACACTGCATGTGCCGGAAATCTGAAAATCACTAATTCTCTTTTTCTCTTCACAAGTATGGTCAGACCTGCTAAAGCTCTCCAGGATTCTCTGTGTTTAGCTCACAGTAAAAGGATTTGCACAACACTTCAGTAAGGTGAAGGGACTGCTGAAAAGGCAGGGTTACCACAGATACAATATTAGCAGACACACACTAAATAACTAACTACCTAAATGATTTATTTACTGCACAGAAAGAAGCCATTCAGTTCACTGAATCTGTGCCATCTACTCTCAGAGCAATCGGGTCATCAGGATGACTGTAAAGGGCATATTGTCACTCAATTAACAATACAGAAGCTCAGACTAAGGTTCTGGGGACATGTTCAATTGGAAGTCAGTTTTAAAAGAACCCAGCATTACTTGGGAATGCGTGTACTGGTCCTCTACTGTGAATTACACAAGACAAGATGGACCAGTATGTCTCATTTGCAGTTTCAGAGTTTTCCTTCTGCAAATCCCGCTCCAGAATCCAATGGACTTTAAACTCATTTAATATATCTGGAATTGTAGACTAGATTGCCGTTATAACTTATTTGCTTCATGAATGCCTCATCTGATATGGCCTATGTGTGAATGCTTCTAAATTCTCACTGCATTGGTTTGTTAGGTCGTAAGATGTAGGAACAGAAGCGAGTATTTAATCCTATTGACTATGCTCCACCATTCAGTGAGATCATGACTCAGAGTTATACAACACAGAAGAGACTGTTAGCACTGATTGAAATATACCAGTCCCACTTTCCAGCACTTGGCCCATAGTCTTGAATGTTAGGTCATTTCAAGTGCTTATCCATGTACTTCTTTCAAAGTTGTGAGTTTCCTGCCTTTCCTACCCTCCCAGGCAGTGCATTCCAGATTCCCACCAGCCTCTGAGTGAATAAAGATTTCCTCAAATCCCCTATAAATCCACTGCCCTTCATCTAAAAATCATGCCCCTTGTTATTGATCCTTCAACTGAGAGGATCCTTCAACTTAAATTGATCCTGTCCATGCTCCTAATAATCTTAGACACCTTTATCAGGTTCCCCACAACCTGCTCCAAAGAAAACAACCTGAGCTTTTCCAGTCTCTCTTCATAGCTAAAATGCTTCATCCTATACAATATCTCATCTGAACCCTCTCCAGTGCAATCACATCCTTCCTATAGTATGGAGACCAGAACTGCACAACGTAGTCCAGCTGTGGCCTAATAAAAGTCCTGTACAGATCCAACATAAATAACAAACAAAACAGGACCCAGCACTGATCCTTGTGGTATGCCACTGGACACCAGCATCCATACAAACATCCTTCTACAACCACCCTCTCTCCCCCACCACTAACCTGTCAAGTTGCCCTGGATTCTAGAGATAGTAGGAACTGCAGATGCTGGATGCTGCTTTTCTGATGAAGGGTCTAGGCCCGAAACGTCAGCCTCTCTGCTCCTAGGATGCTGCTTGGCCTGCTGTGTTCATCCAGCCCTGCACTCTGCCCTGGATTCTACATGCTTTTACCTTTTTTTAGTCTCCCATGTCAAAGGCTTTGCTGAAATCCATATAAACTATATCAACTGTGTTACCTTTATCTACACACCTAATCATCACCTTGAAAAATTCAACCAGATTTGTTAGGCATGACCTCCCTCTGATAAAGCCACGCAGACTATCCCTCGTCAAACTGTGCCTCTCCAAGTGAAGATTAATTCTCTCCTTCAGAAATTTTCCCTACTACTGACATGAGGCTCACCCTGTTCTGTAATTCCATGGTTCATCTCCATCACCATTCTTGAGAAGCAGAACCCCACCAGTCCTCTGGCACCTCCCGTGTGGCCCAAGAGGAATTAAAAATTTGAGTCGGAACCCTTGTAACTTCCTCCCTCGTCTCCCACAGCACCCTGGGATACTACTCATCCAGAACTGGGATTTGTTCACTTTTAAGCCTGCCAAACCTCCAATACCTCCGCACTCCCTTTGTCAACCTGCTCAAGAACCTCACAGTTCCTCTTCCAGAATTCTGTACCTACAACCTCCTCCCACGTGAAGATAAATATGAAGCACTCATTTTACACCCTGTCAATGTCTTCCAGATCCACACAAATTGCTGTCTTGGTTCCTAATGGGTCCTACTCTTTCCCTGGTTATCCTCTTCCCTCTGATGTA